AAGTTAGGAAGTGAAAAAGGGTGGGAGGGCAAAGGAGGGAGGAAAAGAGACAGGGAAGGAGAGACAGAGGAGGGGAGAGAGGGAAGGAGGGAAAGAAGGAAAAACATAGGCTGAAAGCTACTTTTACATTTTTAGGATTTTAATTTTAACCTGTCTCTTGTATTCAAAAAGCCATTGCATATAGGTCCTCCCAACTGTTTACCTTATCATCATGGGAAATAAAAATAAATTAATTAATTGAGGCCGGAATTATTTCCAAAATGGATTTTCAGGAGTGGGATGGAGGTCCTACATGAAAGGAAAATCCTATAACACCTCTTTGCATGTAGGCTTTATATGAATTTTCAGAATTTCCTAAGACACGGAATGCATTAAAGTCAAGACACAAAATAAAATAGGTTTCTGAATAACAAAGCCAGTCCATTTGATTCTTCATTCACTTCAACATATATGTAATGAGAACCAACAATGTGCTTTCACATAAAACACCAAGAGAAGAATAAAGTGGGTAGATGAGAGGTCCAGAAATGCAGATAAATTCCTGCATGGAGCTCAGGCCTGACTTGTTTACTGTAGCAGCATTATCTCACACTCAATTCTAATAATCTCCTATAGTCATGTATCATCTAAACATTAACTTTGCTAATAATTATACATCATCTATCTAACATATCCAACCCAACTATAACAATATGATTTCAACCCACTCCCAGAAAAATATTCATGCTTGGTGTCCTCTTAGAACTCATAAACATGATGGCTGCCTACCTACAATTCTATTCCCACCAAATAAAAAAGATCACCATATAAAAATAATTGACTTCCTAAAGATCATTTCTTCTTCACAGGCCTCATTGCTCTGTCTCATTTATGAAAAAATTCTTTAATTATGTTATACATCAGAGAAGATAAACTAGCGATATAACAAAATCAGCACAACTAGCTTAGAAATATACATCCCTAAGTTTTAAAAGACAAAAGCTATATTTTCTTTGATCCTAAATGTTTCCTGAAGTATATTTTTAATGAATAAAAATCCTGTTCTAGAATATGGCTGGATGTGGATCCAAATGCAGAGATTAAAATGAAAAAATTTTATTTCTGGATACTTACACTGATTTTCAGAAAAGACTTAATACTTTGCAAAATAAGGCCTTTTATAACAGGCAATCCATTGGATAAATTTAGTAGATGCTTGAAACTCATTTCAATTAATGTCAAAGAGGCTTTTTTTCCATTACGTGGCATACACAATATGCAATCATTGCATTCATTCTTTCATTCAAAAATACAATTAAGCTTTTTCTAAATGCCATGCATTGTGCTTGGGGCTTGGGATAAAACTAAACAAAACAGACAAGTGATCGCCTGCATAGAGCTTAAACTGTATGAGGGCTGCTGTCTATAACAGATTTGAAATGAAAAGATTGATAATGATTTCACAGAGAAGACTGGGGAAGACTAATACTGACATAATGTGAGTCTCCCAGGGATGTCCACATTCAAATTCTCAGAACCTGTGAATATGTTGCCTTCCATGGCAAGAGGGATTTTGCAGATGTAATTAAGGTTAAGGGCCTTCAGATGGGATGATTATCCTGGATAATGTGGGTGGGTCCCACTATTCACATGAGTGCTAAAAATCAGAGAATCTTTCTAAGGCATGGTCAGAGAAAGAAATGTGAGGTTGGAAGCAGGGTCAGAGAAATATGACCTTGCTGGCTTAGAAGATGGAGGCAGAGGGCCAAGAGCCAAGGAATGAGGGTGACCTCTACAAACTGGAAAAGACAAAAATAATGGACTCTTCCCTAGAGACTGCAGAAAATAATGTGTTCCTCCAACACTCTGATTTTTAATCCAGTAGGCCCAGGCCAGACTTTTGATTACAGAGCTGAAAGACAGAAATTTGTGTGGTTTTCTATTGCACGAAATATGTGGCAATTTGTTACAGCAGCAATAGAAAACTAACCAAACATATATACATATGTATCCACTCATATAAATTTAACAGGACAGTATATATTAGGGCAAAGATACGTAATCAATACTGTTAAATAGTTGTATGTTTTGTCCATTATAGACCCATCTGGTCTCATTCCTTACTAACATGACAAGATGTTGAATTTACTGAATGTTGAGATTCAATTTTAAAAAATGATCAAGACTTGCTAATCTGTTTAAGGAAGCGAATTTATTTAGACTCAGAGGAGTCATATGGTTGTGTGGACTGAGCCTGAGTCAAACATAAGCTGCATTCATTTTACACTGCTGAACTGCTATGCTGGACTCAACAGACTTGCAAAATTTAAGCCAAGTCCTGAAGCCCCCTTCACCTAAAAGATTAACAGGTTTTGATGAATTAATCACTTTAAATTTTTGTGCTTATCATCAAGCATTTACTCCATCAACACAGCTCAATTACAAAAGCTACTGACTGATCTAAGAAACAACTGGGCCCACCAAAGGAGATACAGTATTCCTTAAAATAGGAAGATGGGGATTTAAGTACCAGAGCCATCCCAAGTCTTTGAACAAACTCTGAGAAAGGTTTGAGTTCAGCTAGTTCCAGAAAAAAATGCATTCTGTTTCATTGACACTGATACAACAGCTATAAAGAAGCATTATTTGTGATAGAAACCAGGAGTGAAAGTAAACTTGGGCATGAGATCTGTAATACACTCCAGTTTTCCAGGTTGGTTCCTGCTATTTAATTCCAATATTCATTAGCTCAGTCCAATTTTGCCAGTTTAAGAAAACCATAAAATCACCACTATTTTGATGTGATATGTGTTTATTACATACAGGGCCGACTTCAGAGGCCTGCTACTGCACACAGGATCCCAATTTTAGGCAGGGGTCCCAGGCTTAGGTGTTCATGCTCTGCTACCACAGTCTTGAAATTTTTAACAATTTAACCTTTGAATCTTTGTAGTCCAGTGTGGCAATGAACTGCATGCCCTGGCTCATACGCAGCCCTGCCTCCAAGTGACTTCCTGGGATAGGTTCTCAGCCACCTGCTCTCCCACCCAGTGATTACTGCTGCCCTCTATTTCTTGTGGGGGCCTTGGCACAGCCTGGGGTGGATGAGCGTCATTTGAAAGAGCCATAGATACCTGTGAGGGTCTGTGGTCACTTTATAAGTACCTCTATACTCTAGAAATCTAACATTAAATAAAAATAACCTTTCGTAGGTCATGAGAGACTGTGTAAGAAAGTTACAGCTCCTTTCCCCTGCTTTTTGAACAAGAAGCCTCACATTTTCATTTTGCACTAGGCCCCCACAAATTACATAGAAAATCCTATATCTAAGTTTATATCTATAAAGAATGAAATAACTTTATATTTTACATAAATTGAACTTATAATTTTATAATTTCTAGATAAACTAAATGTATATATAATGTTACTATATTTTATCTATAAAGATGAGAATAATAATTATAATAGTTTATAGATCAGGGGAGAAGGCATTTCAATACAGTATTATCTTCCGTGTTTTTTCATTTTTTCTGATGACTTACCTTGAAAAATCTTTAAGAATATATTATATGCTAAAAATGGGGATATTCTAGCTTCAGGCATTCTAGCAGGACATGACATTATTAAAATTTTCTTATTAAAGAAAATACCTTACAACTTTGATTTACTGACAGGCGAGAGATTTCTGGTCAGGAGCCAAAGTCATCAAATATTAAGAGTTTGAAGGTACATCAAATGTGTTGAAGGGTCCTCAAAATGCACCAAATAATTATAGTGCATTTCAATTATTCACACAAAGTACTTATATTGAACAATCTCAAAAATCTTAAATTCATATCTGAAAAGTCAGATGCTTTGTAACTAATAATTCTCAAAACATACCTACATGAATCTTGAATTATTCTACTTATAAAAATGCAGATGAACAAAATATTCCTATTACAACTTTCCTTTTGTTTATCTCTATTATTTAAGAAATCTCCACAATCAATATATAATTGACAATATATTCGATATTTTTCTCTTTGCTTATAAATGTTACCAGAACTTGAGGGGAACAATAGTTATAGATATTCCACAGATGGAGATATACATATTTCATATATATATATATATGTATATATATATATATATAAAATGAAACACAACAGACCTTGAAATAAGTATTTTTGCCCTAAATTTAGACATTTCCAATATTTCTGAGTGATAGCTAAAATTCCAAACAAAAACTAGACACTGTCACATTTGTAAAAGGTTAAGAGCTGCCAAAACTGCATGGGTGCCTCTAATCCCAGCACTTTGGGAGGCCAATGTGGGAAGATTGCTTCAGCCCAGGAGTTCGAGACCAGTCTTGGCATTATGGCAAAGCTCCATCTCTACAAAAACTACAAAAATTAACCTGGCATGGTGGCACACCTGTAGTCCAAGCTACTTGAGAGTCTGAGGTAGACAGATCACGTGAGCCCAGGAGTTCAAGGCTGACATTAGCTGTGATGACCCAACTACACTTGAGCCTGGGCAACAGAGCAAGACACTGTTTCCATAAAACAACAACAACAACAAAACATAACCAGCAAGGGCTCTCTACACACCTTCAAACATAGCTCATGATCCCTGTAACGTCACTTTCATTGAATACTGACTTCTAACTTCCAATAGCCTTTCATTATTCATAACATACTCCTGAGCAATCTGCCCCTCTATCTTCTTTACATCTCTTAAATTGATGTGCAACTCTAATTTCCTTTCTCCAATCCTGATTCCCTTCTTCAGCTAATATTAAGATACTTCCACAAACAAAACAATCACCTGTAAGTACCCCTGTGGCTCTGATTTCATCCCTAGAAACAGGCTGTTGTTCCCTGTAAATAAACAAGTAGAACTCACTCGGAAAACCAATCCATGTAAAATCACATACTCATTTGCAATTTATCCTATTTTGTACACGGAAAGTATCTCAGCATATATTCAAAGTACAAGGGAAGAGGGGCTAGGGATAGAAGGGCAAACCAGTCACCTACATTGTTCATGTACTCCGAAAGCAGATCCTGAAGAGCCTGGCGAATGGCATTGCATTCAGCGATAATCCGCTCCCGGTGGAAGTCCCTCGTGCATGAAGAGTCTGCCAGCAGAGCAGCCCCACTGATAATGGCTTCAAGCCGTTTCTCTAGTGATGGTCTTATTTCCTCCTCAGTCACTGTGAGTGGATTCAGGACAATTAAACTCTAGGGGAAGAACACATTTGTATGGTTAGAACTCCATGGCATTCCACTTTTATGAAAAGCAATTGTTATTTTGTTTTCACGTTTAGAATTCAGATAATATAATAAAGAGAACTTTTTACTGCCTCAACTGGTTTACACATAATGCTATGTAGTGATTATTATTCTGATAAATAATGAAAGTGATGCAATTATGAGAATTTGCTCTAGCTTCAGACCAACCTGGATTCAAATCTTACCATTCTCCCTCATGCAGCTGTCTTACATTTCATGAGCCTCAACCTCTTGATCTATGAAAGCAGAGTATTAATACTGCCTATGTCGCTAGACTGCTATAAGAATAAAATAAATGCTTAATACACTGACTGACACATGTTAACTGTTACTTACAATAGTAACTTTTATAGATTGTACTCTTTATGCAATATTTTCATGTACCTCATCTGAGAGCACCATGAGGAGGTGGACAGCAAGGTATTAATAACCACATTTTTCAGCTGATGATGAGTGAGGCTGAAAAGCCGTCTTGCCCAAGGTCATAGAGCAAATAAATAATGATGTTTGGACAAGTATTTAGGTCTTTCAATACCCAATTTAATATTATTTTCATTATGCTTCACTTTATATCATAAACTCTAGTTAACTTTAACACTAACATATCAAAGTAAATTCTGAATTTTAATTATTTAACTTAAAATGTAAAACTGCTTCTTCCTGTTGATCTATTACTACTTCCAGCTATTTCCAGCTCTTAGAACCTGACATGGTATTTTTAAGGTTTCAGTTAGACATGTCTTTAGGTAATAGGAGTCAGGATAATCTACAAGCTCTTAAGAAAAGATGAAGGGTATGCTGTTCTTTTTTTTTTTCCCATTTATTTATTTTATTGTATTTTAGGTTTTGGGGTACATGTGAAGAACATGCAAAATTGTTGCATAGGAACACACGTGGCAGTGTGATTTGCTGCCTTCCTCCCCATCACCTACATCTGGCATTTCTCCCCCTGCT